GCTTGTAAGAGATTTATTTGCTACAGCTGGAATATGGGAAAATTTATTTGGTTTTAATGGTTACATATATGTGTAAGTGGATGTACATGTACTTAAACTGGCTTTTGTAAATATGTATAAATGCTGGTGGTGGTGGTGGTGAAAGTAGTCTTGTTTTGTGAGGATGTCTGCATAAGCAGTAAAATAAGCTTTCTATTTTATTCATAATCTAATTTGTGTGTGTGTGTGTGTGTATGTGTGTGTGTATATATATACACACACATAGATACATATGGCTGTACTATCACATAGATCAAACAGCCAAACACCTGGAAGTATTAGATACAAGTTTAAAATATCTTTTATAGATTTTATATAAAAATGTCTGAGTATGATTTTGTGTGAAAGTTCTGACACCAGTTGTAATGGATTCAAATTTATGTGAGCAATAAAGAAGCAATTGGCAGATATTAGAAAAATATTTTGTGAAAAGCTGTATTTATTGTTAATTAATAGGGCTGTGACATAGTACTATTGGGATTAAGTATTTTTTCCAATCTATTTATAATTTAATGAAACGATAGCACCCTGTTATATGTCAAGTTTAAAGCAGGGCACATGGTTGCAGCAAAATGTATTAGACAAATTATACTTGGAATTTTGGGTCATGAAAGATTGCAATATACTAAATGCAAGAGTGACCATTGGTTTGTGCCTCAGTATTTAATTTGTTTTAATAAAGTTGCTTTATTACTGTTATGATTTCAGATTAAAATAGTTGCTAAGCAAGGTTTATTTGTAATGTAACAATTGGCTTTTTAAAAATAATCTGTTGATATATCATTGTCAGTCCAGATGAATATGTGCAACAGCTGGAATTGTACCAATTTTGATTTTGTTTAAAGTTCAATTTCTTTTTGTTTTATTATATATGTGTTGGGTTTGCAGCATGAACTTGCACAGATAATGCACGTTTTCTGGTTAAGTAAACATGATGCACACTATTCTGTAACAGAAAATCCTATTGTGCCTTACCTATGTGCTTTTGTGGGCACCATGTTTATGAAGAATAAAAAATTAATTTGTTATCTGAAGAGAATAAGTTTTAAATTCTCAGTTTATGTCTCAGATGCTTATGTGTGAAATATAAATATATAATATATAAATTAACCAATCTTTCTGTATTTTATGTGCATCATAGTGATTTATCTGAGCTTAGTGACCCCATCTTGTAACCTGTTGCAAGAGTGAATGTAAAAAACAAAAAAACAGTTGTGGTATTCTAACAGGTCGCCTTTTGATGCAGATGCATCTTTTTCTTGCTTCTAAAACATTTCATGTAAACATTGTACATTTATTATTGTAATATATGCTATTATGCAGCTTATTTTACCTGAAACTGTTAAGCCGACCAAGATTCCTCCCTGCAAGACAGATGGGAATGTGTATAATAATTAGATATTTGAGAAGTTCTGAAGTTTGATGTAATCTGTTACTTGTCCTGTTTTAAAAAAAAGAGAGACAGAACACATCCTAATTAAAAATTTATTAGGTTTTTTTTTAATGTGTCTTCACTTTTAAAAAAGTTTTTTAAGTGCCTCGCGTCTTTATTTTTACCAGTGAAAACATATGCCTTTATTTTAAATCTATTTTACTTGGGAATCTACATTCATGATGAAGACTCTAAAGTTATTAGTTTTAACCATGCATTCTTCAGGATCTTGCTTTTCTTCATAAAAGTGTCTTTACTCAACCTTGGCTCAAAGTGGGCAAGAGTATAAATTGTATCATTAAGCATTTTCTAATTGTTAGACACTTTTTCAAAGAACAACTCTCTCACAAAAGAAAAATTCTTTTCTACATACATTCTGGGTCAAACTCTATCTTGTCCTAAATCGATAACAAACAGTTCTTGGGCAAGCTTCTTTGAGTAGCAAGAAGCCTGGATTTATTAGTCACATGGTAGACTTAGGATTGCTAATAAGTGTTGGTATTGTTTTTGTTAGAGGAACATGGATGAAAACACAAAGCTCAATCCTTAAGCTGGTCAATTTAGAGGATGAACACAGGTCAGATTAAAAAATATATGGAAAATAACAGTAAAAAAGAACTAGGCTGGGGGGATTCTGGGAGTACAGAGAAATATCATATGCATCTTAATAGAAAGAATATAAGAATAGATAAGAAAATAGCTAAGCTGTATTTTAATTCAGTATGCCTATTAAGCATCTCTTAAGAATAGATATAATGATAAGTCTCTTTTCCCTTGATCCCTCAGAGGAGAGCTTGTAGGGATGAGATCTTGAAATCTAATGTGTGGAACCTGTGTCATAATAAAATTCATATGCATACTCATTGGTATGTAGATTCCTGAATGTCTTATGAATATTTTGAAGCCTGATATTGGACCTTACATTTTTCTTGTCTTGTATTCACAGTTTGAATTACAAGTTGTGATTTGTAAGAGAACAGTGTTTTGTTTTGTCCTGTGCCCAGAATATCTCCTTTAGTAAAATTGACCTTGCAATTTTCACTCCTTGCTCTTGGTGATATCAAATTACTTTAGGTCAACTACATGGCTTCTTCACCCTTTTTTCCTAGACCTATCTTGGCAAGTCACTTCTTCCAGATGGCTGATCAAAGGATGCTAACTAAATCAAGCAGAATTTTGCCAGCCCCTCTTTTGGGAAGGATGCTCAAGAACAGGTACTTAACTGAGAATAATTAGGAACCAGAAGTTGTGGTTTAAAGAAACAATGTGCAGTATGCTCATTCTTAGCCTGTAAGCCCAAGGAGATTTTATGGGTAGATTGAGTTTCTATTCCTAAGAACCTCTGGTGTAGATAGTAATATAGACCCATTTTGTTGATTCTTAGTTTTTTAAACCAGTAGAACCTGTGTACTTAAGTTTACTTTTTCTGCTATGAGTAGGCATAATACATGAACTATGATGTGTGAAATAATTTACTGCCTGTATAAACCACAAGTGGTTTCTTATGGCCAAATCACTTAAGTCCAAGGCAATAAATAGAAATGGGAAAGGTAGGCCATGAGCATGTCATGGAAATTTTTGTAGATCACATTTGAAGTTCAGTGTTGCCTGGTTCAAAGAGTTCTGGTAACAAACTAATAATTAGGGTTTGTTGGAATGAATACTACATAAAGGATTTGAAAATACTTAAGAAGCAAATGGGAAAGATGATTATTAGTGGATATTCAGGGAGAAATTCATAACAGGTTTTCTAAAGTGGGAAATCTAAATTCCCAACATTTAAAGAATAGATGAGAAAGAATATATTGGATAGGAAAGATGATAAACTGGGTTTTTGGATATTTTGAGTTTGAGATACCTATAGAACATTCAGACATATTGCAGTTTTTTAGATCTACCTAACATCTCATTTGTCTACAAATCAGGAAAAATTGCTAATAAGTATTAAAGAGTCAGATAATGACAGAATATTAACAACAATTATGTTTTTTTTTGTACTGAAAAGATTCTCAAAAGATTAGCTTGCTATTCCTCTTATAATGTTCTATAATAGAAAACCAAATTAGAAATATTTGATCTATATTTAGATTTTATAAAACCCATAGTTGAAACAGTTCCCAATGTACTTGAAATAGTTCTAAAAATTTAAAGTAAGTCAAATTAGATTAAAACTGGTTATTCAGGTGTACTGGCCCAAATTTAAGTACTCAAGAGTCACATGCAGTTGGTGGCTGCCATGTTGACAGTATAGGTCTTGACCCACCTGTACCTTTCTAGCCAAATCTCAGTCCTTACCCAGCTACCTATACTCCAGCTTGAGTGCTTATCTTTTTCATGCATATCTTTACTAATATTTCTCCTATATTACCTCCTTCACTTAACTTTCTCCAGACATCTAGAGCATATGCCTTCCACATTAGGACCTTCATACTTTATCTCTCTATGATACTGTTCCTTTGGGTTTACATCTGCATGATCTGCTGTCCTTATTCGGGTTTCAGCTCATATCTATTTACAGAGTACTTCTCTGACTACTTCTCTTTTAAATTACTGTTTTATTTTCTTAATGTAGTTTGTTATTATCTGCAAGTTTCTTAGTGTTTGTATTTATTATCTGTACCCTTTGATGCAATATAAGAGTAGAGGGTCTTATTTGTATTATTTATTTTATTTTTAGGGCACAGAATAGAGCCTCCCTTAAGTTGTCACCATATATTTATTGAATTAACCCATAAAACACACATTTTTAAAATGTTTTTCTGGATCTAAAATAAGTTTGTGTTTTGGTTTTAGGGAGTTCAGTATAACTTCCAAAAATCTGATTTCTTATGTATTGCTGCAGCAGAATCCCACAATTTTTGGTATGTTGTATTTTCATTTGCATTCAGTTCAAAATATTTTATAGTTTCCCTTCTGGTTTCTTCTTTGTCCCATGGGTTATTGAGGAGTGTATTATTTAGTTTCCAAATTCTTTGAAGATTTCTAGATGAAGTTTTTGGTTTGGGCTTTTAATTTTATTCCATTATGCGCCCGTGTATTATTTGAATCTTTTTAAAGTTGAGACTTATATTATGGTCTATAACATGATCTTTCTTGGTAAAAATTCTGTGAGTACTTAGGAAAAAAGGAGATAAGGGTGGGTATTATCTGCTGTTAATTGGTGGACTGTTCGTGACTTGAATTAGACATAATTATTTGATAATGTTGTTCAAGTTTTATCATTACCAATTTTCTGTGTACTTGTTAATTATTGAGAAGAGTATTGAAATCTCTAATTGAGGATTTATCTATTTTTTGCTTCATGTATTTTGAAGCTGTGTTATTTGGTGGACATTTTGGGTTGTTACATTACCTTGATGTTTTGACCCCTTTATCATTATATAAATGGTCTTTATCTCTGATAATATGTTTTGGTCCAAAATCTACTTTATCTGATATTGATAAAACTCCAGCTTTTTCTTTGTGTGCATGTGTTTTCCCCAAATTTCTGTTTTTATTGTTTGTTATTATTTATTTAAATTTGGGGTTTAAGAATGTGGAAACGCTTCATGAATTTGCATGTCATTGTTGCGCAGGGGCCATGCTAATCTTCTCTGTATCATTCCAATTTTAACATATGTGCTGCTGAAATGAGCATTCCGGCTTTCTTTTGATTAGTGATAGGATGATATGTCTTTTTTGCCCATCCCTTTATTTTTAACCTGTTGTGTCTTTATACTTAAAGTATGCTTTTAATAAGAGTATTTAGCTAGATTTTTGTTTATTTTTGCAATCTGAATCTCTCAATCTTTGCTTTTAATTGGATATGTATTCCATTCACATATGATTATTGATTTGGTTAGGTTTCAGTCTACCATCTTGTTATTTGTTTTCTCTTTATTCTATCTGTTCTTTGTTCTTCTTTTCCTGTCTTTTTTGGATTGAGTATCTGTGGTTCCATTTTATCTCCTTTCTGCTTCTTTGTTATTTTTATACCTTTTTTATGTTATTTTTATGAGGTATATCATAAACCTTAATGGTATCATTATCATTATACTTAGCACCATCAGCCTTCAAGTCATATTTTACAACTTTATGTAAAACAACTTTTTGGGTTTTTTTTTTTTTGGTACTGGGGATTGAACCCAGGGGAGCTTAACCACTAAGCCACATCCCCAGCCCTTTTTGAATATTTTATTTAGAGATAGGGTCTCGCTGCTAAATTGCTTAGGACCTCATGAAGTTGCTGAGACTGGCTTTAAACTTGCAATCCTCCTGCCTCCACCTCAGCCTCCCGATTTGCTGGGATTACAGGCATTCATCACCGTGCCCGGCTATGACCCATTTTTTTTTGTTTGAACAATTTTAAAGATATTTAATAAGAAAATATCTTATATTTACTCATACAGTGAACGGTTTCAGTACTTTTCATTCCCGTGTAGATTCATATTTTACCTTGTAAGAATTTTCCTTATGCCTACAGGGTTTAACTTTTTTTTTGTAGAAAGGATCTGATAAGAGATGAATTCTTTCATCTGCTGCTAACAGGCACTACTCTTAAATATTCACTCCCTTTTTTAATAGAGCATATTAATTCTATAGAATAGTGGATTTTGTTGTGGCATATTCATATGTGCATTTAACATATTTTTATCATTTTTATTTCTCTGTAATCTCCTCAGATCCTCTTCCCACTCCCTTTGCTATTCACTAATAGTCTCTCACATACATTTATGTCTGTCTTTTTTTCCTAGATTCCACATATGAGAAAAAATATGTGAACCATTGCTGACACCTTCTAGTGCAATTTTAACTTCATTGTATTTCTAGGCTTCAGAATTTTTTTTTTAGAAATATGTATAAATTTGTTCTCCTTGTTGTTTTCCTGATTTCATTGAATTATTTCTGTATATTTTCTTGAAGCTCACAGAGCTGCCTTAAAATGATTATTTCAAGTCCTTTGTCAGTCAGTTTCTTTAGGGTCAGTTACTGCTTTATTTCTCTGGTGGTGTCATGTTTCCCTAATTGTTTGTGACCTTAATTGCTATGCATTGGTATCTGTTCACTTGAGAGAGCTGGGTCTTACTTCAGTCTTTTGATTAGTTCTGTCTCGGAAAGCCCTTCAGCAGGCAGCCCATCCATAGATTTTGGGCAGACCACATGGCATATTCTGAGGGTGGCTTGCTGCTGGAATTATCAGGATAGTTGGCTTTTTTCGTGGGTCCTTGGACAGTGAATTGAATTCTGGGTTTAAAAGAGCATACCTGGTATTTGGATGGGCCTTGACGCTGAGTTTGAAAGGCCAGCCAGATACTTGGATAGGCTTGGTCCACTGGTGTGGGTCTGGAAAATGAAACTGACATGGCACTGGAGCAGGCATGGAGTCTGGGTCCACAGGGGGTCATACTTGAGCTTGAAACTATGGATGATACCTTGATTCTCGAGCTAGAGGGATTGGTCTGGAGCCTGGCCTGGAGGCTGGATATCAAAGTGCTGTTCTGGAGTCTTTCTTCAAGGACGGCTTATGTCTTGGAGCCAGGACAGGCTTGGAATCTGGGTTCACATGGATTGTCCTGGAGGCTTGGTCTCTGGAGACTCTTCTAGCACTCGATTTACTGATATGAACCTGGACCATGTTTCTGCTGAAGCATGCGGATAGGATCAGCCTGATTACTAAGACTGCATCGGCTACCCTGGTCTGAGGTATATTTTGAGCCTCAGTCTGTGGGGACTGAATTTCTGCTGGGACAGGTGAAGGTCCCTCCTCATACTCAGCAGTGTATTCAGCATCATACTGAATTGTGAAAAGTTGGAAGCTTTTCCCCCAAGATCAGTAACAAGGATGTTCACTCTCACCACTTCTATTCAACATTATGTAAGAGGTCCTAGCAGAATAATTGGGCAAGAAAATTGTAGGTATTTAAATTTGAAAGAAAGAAATTAAATTGTCTGTTTGCAGATGACATGATCTTCTATATAGAGAAAATAAAATAAAAAATATTTAAACTAATGAACAAATTCAATTAAGTTTCAGAATACAAAAATAAACATGAAAAATTAGTGGCATTTTTATGCACTAAACCATTTTAAAAAATTAAAACACTTTCATTTACAAGAACTACGAATACACACACACACACACACACACACAAAATACTTAGGAATTGGTTAATGGGGATGGTACTATGAAGCAGAGAATATACAAGGAAGCTCTGTGAAGAGCATTTTCTTAAGAATATTTTTATATTCTAATGATTCAACATCATAACTGAGATTATACGGTTAGTAAATACTTGAATTATGTGGACATTCTTGTAAGAATTCAGTATGTGATAAAAGTAGCTTATAAAATTGGTGGGAGGGCCTGGAGATATAGCCCATTGTTAGATCTCCTTCCTCTCATATGTGAGGCACTAGGTTCCATTAAATTAAAATAAATTGATTGATTATTTAAATTGGATAAGTGAATCTTTCAATGAAAGTCGAGACATTTTCAGAGAGATTAGAGCCCTAACATTACTAGGACCTATAATCCTTGTAACTGTGTCTCCTTAGAAGAGGCCCAACTACAAATTGGCTTGTAGTAATTTCAAAGATGTTAATGACTTGAGTCTTCCACAGTATATGGGAGTCACTCAGCCGACAAAGGGTTTCATGCACGAAGATTTCATATATTTTGATAACACAACAAACAGTTACAGTCCTTATGTTCAGTATCCTCTCCTTAGGACAAAAGGGCAGAAGGATGTTTTCTTGATTCTTATTTTCTCCAGGGCTCTCTTTTTTTCTTCACAGTCATAGGCTCTTCTACATTGCTACTAGTATCTGAGTTATATACTCCCAGGAACATCAAAAGAGCAGGGGTTCTGTCAGAGGAACACGTTAAGTAGCAGAGCTATTATGGAATAGAATCTTGCAGCTTATATATCATGATGTATCAGATGTGCCCAAATATTAGTTTTTAGAATAGTAGCAGTACTTGGGGTGGTGAAGTTCAAGGCCTACACGCCTCCTGCCATCTGTAAACAGCTTCCTTCGTTTAACCATGCATTTTACAATTATTATCCGTTCCTTTGAATGCCAGTTTTTTTTAAAGGTTGTTCTAAGTAATTAAATGGGAACAATGAAAATGTGAATAAAATCATGGAACACAAAGTCATTTGAGTTAGGAAGAAGAATAACAGAGTCTAGCAGGTAATGGGTGAGTGGGCGGATCAGATTTTTTTCTGACTTTGAATTCTCTCCAATTCTATTTTTTTTTTTTGTTCTTTTTAGTTATACATGACTGTAGAATCCATTCTGACATAAATATAAAAGCATGGAATATATCTTGTTTTAATTCAGTTTCATATTAGACTTTATATGATTAATATGTCTATTTGTTTCAAATCTTATACAGCTTTTAGTTCTTAATCCTCTTATGCCCAGATAAGTTCCATGAGGAAAGAATAGTTGAAATGATCATAAAATAACTGAAAGAAAAATATGAGGAAAATGTTTAATATAAGGTTAAACACAGAAACAAACCATAAATAAAAAATATTACATTTTGAGTTGTATTAAAATAGTGATAACCAGTGTATCAAAAAATTCTGAGAACAAAGTTAAAAGACAAGGAAATGGGAAAATATTAGCATATGATTTGTAATGGTGTTCTAAAAACATGAAAACAGACATCCTAATAGAAAAATAATCAAGTGACATTAGGACTTGATTCACAAATGAAGAGCTGCAAATGGTCAATAAGCATATAAAGCATTCCGCCACAGAAGTAAATGCAAATCAGTGAACAGTTGGGAAAATTTTTTTTTGCATATGAAAATTATCAATTTGACTCAAATGCAGGGAAACAGAGCCCCTTACATACAGAGCCCCTTGTTGTGTCATATGATGAGCATCTCTGAATGCCAGTTTGCCAATTCATGATAAAAAATGTTTTAGTATTCAGACCATTCTGATGATTCTATTTTTAGGAATTTATTGTGAAGAAATTATCAGAGATGTTCATCCCAGCTATATTTATATTGTGATAAAAGTTAGAAGCAACCTAACTCTTATGAATATGGGAATACATAATGAATTATATGAAATCTTGGGAAATAATTAAAATAATGTGAAGAATATTTAAGATGTGAAAAGCAGTGTGTGTGTGTAGTGCATAAATTGCATATACATCATCTCAACTCTGTTTCATGTTGAACACTTTACACTGGGAGATGCATCATATTTCCTCTGGCACCTAAGGAAAAAAAAAACAACAAAAATGACACTGAAGGTGTAGGTGTAGTAGGTGTAGATTCTTTTTCTTTTCTTTCTTTATTTATATGTGACAGTGGAATGCATTACAATTCTTATTACACATATAGAGTACAATTTTTCATATCTCTGGTTGTACACAAAGTATATTCACACCAATTCATGTCTTCATACTTGTATTTTGGATAATGTCCATCACATTCCACCATCATTATAAATCCCCATTCCTTACCCTCCCACCCGTCTGTCCTATCTAGAGTTTGTCTATTCCTCCCATGCTCCCTTCCCTACCCTACTATTAATCAGCCTCCTTATATCAGATAAAACATTTGGCATTCAGGTTTTGGGACTGGCTAACTTCACTTAGCATTATCTTCTCTAATTCCATCCATTTACCTGCAA